CCCACTGGGAATGGGGCCATTGGGGTGGTGTTCCCACTGGGAATGGGGTGTCAGGGTGGTGTTCCCACTGGGAATGGGGCCATTGGGGTGGTGTTCCCACCGGGAATGGGGCCATTGGGGTGGCGTTCCCACTGGGAATGGGGTGTCAGGGAGGCGTTCCCACTGGGAATGGGGCCATTGGGGTGGTGTTCCCACCGGGAATGGGGCCATTGGGGTGGTGTTCCCACTGGGAATGGGGTGTCAGGGTGGCGTTCCCACTGGGAATGGGGTGTCAGGGTGGCGTTCCCACTGGGAATGGGGTGTCAGGGAGGCGTTCCCACTGGGAATGGGGCCATTGGGGTGGTGTTCCCACCGGGAATGGGGTGTCAGGGTGGTGTTCCCACCGGGAATGGGGCCGTCAGGGTGACATTCCCATGGGAATGGGGCCATCAGGGTGACATTCCCATGGGAATGGGGCCATCAGGGTGACATTCCCACCCGGAATGGGGCCTGAGGGCAGCAGGACACCCACCTGGCCAGGTAGAGGGGCTTGGTGGGGTCGTCGGGGCTCACGGACACGCAGTCTCCCACCTCCAGGGTCTCGTTGTCGATGCAGACCCGCTGGTAGTAATCCTTCTTCCCGTCGCTCTGCGGGGCCGGGGGGGGGTTACACCCACCCATGAGGGGCAGGGTGATTACACCAACCAGAGGGCAGTTACCACCCACCCAGGGGGCAGTTACACCACCAGAGGGGGCAGTTACACGCCACCCAGGGGGCAGGGGGGGTTACACCCAACCCAGGGGGGCAGTTACACCCACCCAGGGGCGAGGGCGGTTACACCCACCCAGGGGGGCAGTTACACCAACCCAGGGGGGGTTACACCCACCAAGGGGGTGGTTACACCCACCCAGGGGGGCAGGGGGGGGTTACACCCACCCAGGGACATGGTCCCCCCGAGAAGGAGGGGAGGAGGGCCCTGCCTGGCCTCGCCTGGAGGGGTTCTCCCACCTGGATGGGTTCCCCCACCCATGGGATCCAACTCCGGTGTCACCTGGATGGGCTCCCTCACCTGGATGGGCTCCCTCACCTGGACAGGTTCCCTCACCTGGATGGGCTCCCTCACCTGGATGGGTTCCCTCACCTGGATGGGCTCCCTCACCTGGATGGGTTCCCTCACCTGGACAGGTTCCCTCACCTGGATGGGCTCCCTCACCTGGATGGGTTCCCTCACCTGGATGGGCTCCCTCACCTGGATGGGCCCCCCAACCCCACTCATGACCTCACCTGGATGGGTTTCCCTCACCTGGATGGGGTCCTTCACCTTTGACAGGTTCTCCTACTCTGGTCTCACCTGGATGGGCTCCCCCACCCAAGAGATCCTATTCTAGTGTCACCTGGATGGGTTCCCTCACCTGGATGGGTTTCCCTCACCTGGATGGGTTTCCCTCACCTGGATGGGCTCCCTCACCTGGGTGGGTCCCCCAACCCCACCCATGACCTCACCTGGATGGGCTCCCTCACCTGGATGGGTTTCCCTCACCTGGATGGTTTTCCCTCACCTGGATGGGTTTCCCTCACCTGGATGGGTCCCCCAACCCCACCCATGACCTCACCTGGACGGGCCCCCTCCCCTGGACGAGTCCCCCCGCTCTGGTCTCACCTGGTCGGGTTCCCCCACCCCCGGGCCCCCACTCTGGCCTCACCTTGATGGGCTCCCCCACCCACGAGATCCGACTCTTGTTCTGCTTCTTCTTCCTGCCCTGGAGCATCTTCTTGGGCGACGGCATCTCGGGGATGTTGTCGTCCACCTCCTCGTCCTCGTCCGCCTCCCGCACGGCCAGGTTGGGGCACCTGGGCACGGGGGGGTCACCGGGGGGGTCACCGGGGGGGGTGTCACCACGGGGGACACCCCCGGGGACATCCTTGGGGACCCTCACCCACCTCCTCTGCAGACAGGCCTGTTTGCTCCTCCCGCTGCCCCCGAACTTCACCATGTTCTGGCAGGCCTTGCACTTGCCACACTCGGGCTGTTGGCACACCTGGAGCGGGACGGGGGACGGGTGACACCGGGAACACCCCCCGGGACCGGGGTGGGCTCTGGGACGGCCCCGCGGGGCCACCGGGACGGGAGGGGGAGGTCGGCTGGTCAAGGTGGGAATTGTCCTTCCAGATCCACCACTGCACCCCAGGACGGGTGAATTTGGTTGGTCAAGGTCAGAATTGAGCCTCAAGATCCACCACTGCACCCCAGGGTGGGTTAATTTGGTTGATCAAGGTGGGAATTGTCCTTCCAGATCCACCACTGCACCCCAGGGTGGGTTAATTTGGCTGATCAAGGTGGAATTGACCTCCAAGATCCACTATTGCATCCCAGGACGGGTTAATTTGGTTGGTCAAGGTGGGAATTGACCTTCAAGATCCACCACTGCACCCCAGGACAGGTTAATTTGGTTGGTCAAGGTGGGAATTGTCCTTCCAGATCCACCACTGCACCCCAGGACGGGTTAATTTGGTTGATCAAGGTGGGAATTGAGCCTCAAGATCCACCATTGCACCCCAGGACGGGTTAATTTGGCTGTCAAGGTCAGAATTGCCCTTCCAGATCCACCACTGCACCTCAGGATGGGTTAATTTGGCTGATGAAGGTTGGAATTGTCCTTCCAGATCCACCACTGCACCCCAGGACGGGTTAATTTGGCTGATCAAGGTGGGAATTGACCTTCAAGATCCACTATTGCATCCCAGGACGGGTTAATTTGGTTGGTCAAGGTGGGAATTGACCTTCAAGATCCACCACTGCACCCCAGGACGGGTGAATTTGGTTGGTCAAGGTGGGAATTGACCTTCAAGATCCACCACTGCACCCCAGGACGGGTTAATTTGGCTGATCAAGGTGGGAATTGACCCTCAAGATCCACCACTGCACCCCAGAGTGGGTTAATTTGGTTGATCAAGGTCAGAATTGAGCCTCAAGATCCACCACTGCACCCCAGGACGGGTTAATTTGGCTGATCAAGGTGGGAATTGACCCTCAAGACCACCCAGCCCAACCCAGGACAGGAGGCTGATGAAGGTCCCTTCCAACCTTGACCAACCAACAAGACCAACCAGCCCAACCCAGGACAGGAGGTTGATCGAGGTTAGAAAAGCCCTTCAAGGCCAACCAGCCCACCCCAGATCCGTGTCCCCAGGGAGGTGACCCCCAGGTGTGGTACCTCGCAGACGCCGCAGCGCCGGCGCTTCGTGGAGTTCTCCTTGTCCTCCTCCCGCTCGTCCTTCTCGATCTGCTCCGAGAAGAAGGTGTCGAAGATGTGGTACACCAGCTTGGTGGTCGTGGCCTTGGTGGGCCCCTTGTCCTTGTCGATGCGGGTGGGGTGGCGGATGGCCTGGCGCCGCACGGCTCGCCTGGGACACGGGCACGGCGCTCAGGGCGACCCGGGGAACAGGGAACGGCCCCCACGGGGTGCTGGGGCACCTTTGGGGTCCCCCAGGGCAGCACCAAGGGCAAGGTTGGGTTTGGGGGACCCAACCCGGTGACCTCCCGCCCTCGGAGCAGCACCAGGCACGGGGGGGTTGCGAGTTTTGAGAGGGTTTTCCCGATTTTGGGAGGGCTCTCCTGGTTTTAGGAGGG